TATATTACATCCGACCAAAAAAACATGTTTGTAAGAGACTCATACGTTGTTAGATGTGTACGAATAGTAAGATTTTTTCGATTTTCCAAAAAAAAAAATTAATATGCCAAAATAACTCATTCCATGTTTTTTCTGAAGACTTGAAGATCCTAGATCTCTGAAACGATCGATTAAACCATCTTGGCTNTCACATACTGATTCTCTGCATAATATTTTGTAATACATATTATGAAGAGAGCAAAATGAAAAACCATATTTTTCTAATTTACCTTTAAATTCTGTCCTTGACACATACATATTTTGCCATTCGAATACTTCCTCTACAGCAAGTCTTGCAATCGAAGTGCACTGTTGGTTGGTATTACATTGGCAATTGCATTTAACTGCTGAAATGCAATTTTTCTGATTAGAGCCTTAAGGTAGCTAATGTAGCTAGCTAGCTTATAACCTGCTAACATTTCAATGAGTCTACTGCACCACGCACGCTGGTACGCGTCTCAGCGTCGCGTCGCTTGAGCGTACGCGTGGTGTTAACGCGCCGACACCCTAGCACTGCACTTGTCACATCCTACACCATATTAATTTTCAGTTTCAAGCTCGTGTAACTGATGAAATGTAGTCCGTTTTTCTAGAGCTTTAAAGTAGCTCTTTAAAACCTAGTAACATTACAATGAACCTACTGCCCCACCACACTGGTACGCGTCTTGGCGCCACCGCGTCGCGCGTCGCTTGAGCGTACGCGTGGTGTTAACGCGCCGACACCCTAGCACTGCACTTGTCACATCCTACACCATATTAATTTTCAGTTTCAAGCTCGTGTAACTGATGAAATGTAGTCCGTTTTTCTAGAGCTTTAAAGTAGCTCTATAAAACCTAGTACCATTACAATGAGCCTACTGTACCACCACACTGGTACGCGTCTCGGCGCCATCGCGTCGCGCGTCGCTTGAGCGTACGCGTGGTGTTAACGCGCCGACACCCCAGCACTGCACTTGTCACATCCTACGCCATATTATTTTTCAGCTTCAAGCTCGTGTATTACATAAGTTAACGCACGCCTCAAAGTAGCTCTTTAAAACCTGGTAACATTTCAATGAGCTTACGGCATCACCACACTGGTACGCGTTTCGGCGCCACCGCGTCGCGCGTCGCTTGAGCGTTACGCGTGGTGTTAACGCGCCAAAACCCCAGCACTGCACTTGTCACATCCTACACCATGTTAATTTTCAGTTTCAAGCTCGTGTAACTGCAGAAATGTAGTCCATTTGTCTAGCTAGAGCCTTAATGTAGCTCTTTAAAACCTAGTAACATTGCAATGAGCCAATTGCATGAGCGCGTCGCTTGAGCGTACGCGTGGTGTTAACACGCCGACACCCTAGCACTGCACTTGTCACATTTTATTTTTTTATTTGGTTTACCAGAAATTGTTACATTGATGCTTACATCCTATACTATGTTAATTTTCAGTTTCAAGCTCGTGTATTTCATAAGATACCGCGCGCCTTAAAGTAGCTCTTTAAAACCTAGTAACATTTCAATGAGCCTACCGTACCACCACACTGGCACGCGTCTTGGCGCCATCGCGTCGCGCGTCGCTTGAGCGTACGCGTGGTGTTAACGCGCCGACACCCTAGCACTGCACTTGTCACATCCTACACCATATTAATTTTCAGTTTCAAGCTCGTGTAACTGCAGAAATGCATGTAGTCCATTTGTCTAGAGCCTTAGTGTATGTAGCTCTTTAAAACCTAGTACCATTACAATGAGCCTACTGTACCACCACACTGGTACGCGTCTCGGCGCCATCGCGTCGCGCGTCGCTTGAGCGTACGCGTGGTGTTAACGCGCCGACACCCTAGCACTGCACTTGTCACATTCTACACCATATTAATTTTCAGTTTCAGCTCGTGTATTACATAAGTTAACGCGCATCAAGCTTATGTTGAAAATTATGTGACACGGCATATTATACAAACAGCTAGTGAACACAAACTGCTGCTATGGTACATACATGGTGCCGATATTAATTGGCAGCACTCTATGTAGTTTTCACAGTTTATGTAAAAGACATTATTTAAAGAAACAAAATCCTGCAATTTTCTGTTATTTATGAGAAAGAAGCGTATAATGTTATTTTCATGAGGTGCAGTGAAAGAGGAGTGTATGTTACATAAAGTTTAGAAAACTGAAAATAGTTGGTTTCATGAAATTTTTTGATCACAGATGTTATCCAAAATTATTTATTTGGTTAAATCGACCTATTTTCAATTTCGAATGAAGACATACAATCATCATGGAAGACAATCTCACTTCAAACAGTATTGATAAAATCGTTTTTAATACTTTTTGTTAATCCGCTTATGAGCTTTTAAAACATTAATAAATAATAATTTGCTACAAATACACAAATTGTATAAAGTAAAACTGCTTTATTAATACAATTTATTCAATACAGCGAGCATACCTAATAAACATTTGCGAATGAATACCGAATAATTTCAGAACTATTTTGTAGCATCACGGATGAAATACACTCAGTCGAGTTCCGTGAAATAATTTTACANAATCAGAATCAGCGACGTCAAATTAGTAAACATCATGTAATGAAAGTCAATCATCAGCCAAAAGTTGCAATTTTGTTGTGCAGTGTTATCATTGGTTTAGGTGACATTTTCTTCAGTAGTTATTGAAAAGACTTGTTTTCATGAAAAATATTGACCACAAATCCAAAATCTTTTAATCTTGGTTAATTAAGTATGAGACTATGACGTGTCGAATGAAAAACTTACAGGGAAGACAATCTCACTTCAAACAGTATTGGTAAAATCGTTTTTAATACTTCCTATTAATCCGCTTATTAGCTTCTAAAATAATAATTAATAATAATCCGCTCCGTGAAACAACTTTATTATTAAAATTTATTTAATACAGCGAGCATACCTAATAAACATTTGCGAATGAATACCGAATAATTTCAGAACTATTTTGTAGCATCACGGATGAAATACACTCAGTCGAGTTCCGTGAAATCATTTTACATCTGTTATGAAAAGCGAAATATCCGGCACGAGAAAATGTTTATGCAAAAACAGAAATAAAGGCATAAAAGGATAATTCCAGGTAGCGCGATCAATATCAACGTAGAGGATTTCTGTCATTTCATAAATTGTATTCAGCACGCAAAATGCTGCTGACAGAATAATATTTTACTTTATTAATTTGTGTTTATTGTCACATCGGGCTGGAAGATGTAATGTGGGCAGGTCTCCTACTAGGTGGACCGACGATCTGGTAAAGGTCGCGGGAAGAGCCTGGATGCGGGCAGCGCAAGACCGTTCATTGTGGAAAACCTTGGGGGAGGCCTATGTCCAGCAGTGGACGTCATTTGGCTGAAACACGGTAATAATATGAAACGAACGATTGTCACATCATATTACGAGTATTAGTTTAGATAGATTATTTTTGTTGTTATTTGCCTGAAATGAAGGTGTTGTAATAGAAAAACTGTCTTGGTTATTAGATAAGATTTATGTAACAAAAAAATACATTGGAATAGTGAGACTACATGAGGTATATTATCGTAGGTAACGAGACTAAATTCCTCGCTGAGTTTCTCATCAGCAACTGATATCTTTTACGATAGGATTTAATTAATATAAGATCATTTTAGCCCCCTCTGTGGTCTAGTGGAAAGACCAGTACCTAGATTTTTTTAAGAAAAAATTTTTTTTTGTTTTCACATAGATTTTATCTCCGTAATAATTAATCAATAATTCATTCATATAAGTAGGGGTAGGTACCCGGAAGGCCTATACAATAATACAAGGCATTTTATTGAGTATCATTAAAACCAAGATTGACATTATTATCAAATTCAATAGAAACAAAATATCCTATTGTACGCGACTTCCAAGTATTCCCTTTAAGCAATACCTTCAAATGGAAGCTATTGAATTACCGGACTTGACTGAATCCAGCTAAAATAAATAAATAATCAGAACTATAGACTCAAATAGGTTTGCTCGTTACCTGGAAAATAGGGAACCAGTAAAATAACGTCCTACGTAAATTCTAAAAACACCGGTTTGTATAAATAAATAGGATGGCTGTTTAGATTCGTTGTATATTTGCTGATGACATACAGGGTGGAATTTTGTAATGCCACCTCCAGGGAAAGTACACTTAATACAAGAGATATAATATAGATAAGATAAGATAGAAAATTTTACTGAAAGAGAACATTCCTTTATTTTTGAAAAGAAAAAGAACTGCATTCATAGATTTTCGAAATTTTTTCGAAAATTCACTACCATACCATACAATTTTCTGCACATAATTAAAGTAATGTAAGATTTCATGGTATTCCTTTCATTTGATTTATCAAGTTTGTTAGAGATATTTCATCCTTATACTTAACCCTAATGTGGTTCTCTTTCTTTTAAAAAATAAAGGAATGTTTTCTTTGACAATTTTTTTCTATCTACAATATTAAGAGCACTTTCCCTCCAGGTGGCATTACATAATTCCACCCTGTATATATTGGCGCGTATGATGCATCCAATAATTTTTAACTGAATCTGTGACAAAACTCCCAAAATATCACATGGGAACACTTTTCAGGAACCTGAACAGACGCGTATTAAAATCAAATAAAATAAGTTAGATAGAATTTCACTTGCCTGTCAAACTAACGCAACTATAAAACTATTGTATCATCAACGTAGGTAACAATCAGTGGGTCTAGAAGTGCACATTATAATGCCAAACCAGTCGAAAAATGGTCGAAATGCCTTTTTTGTATGGAGTTATGATTATGACGAATTTGATTTTCTATTCGGTCAAAAAGTGCAAATTGTCTAGGAGGGCAGATGTACGTCGACGATGAGATCGACGTTTTGCCACACGTAATAAGAGCTAATCTTACTAAATGTTTCTGTCAAGCTACGTGTAAAATGTATGAAGAAATAATGGGTGGTGGTTACTACAAAAATGTGACTTACCAACGAGCGCCAGTATGACGGTGAGTAGCGGTGCCGCCGGGAACGTCACGGTGACGTTAAACTCTAGCATTTGCAGCAAATCCACTGGAAAGAAAATACTTATTTAAATATAAGTTAGACCAAGCGCTACTAAGTGAAACAAGGATTTAATGAAAACGAGGGGTTGGGTCGTATCGTAAATGATGATGAACTGTGTTTAATGAAAAAACTACTGTTACATAAGTAGATAGGAATAGGTATGTGATAATAAGTTCAAGCGATGGTAATGGATGAATGGAAACAGCATTTGAAACAAACAGAATAAAACCTAGAACATATGTACATATTTAGATGAGGATACTTGATAATTTGAGAAGAGAGTTTTAAACTGGGTCTTTACCCTGGTAAAACTTGAAATAGTTTTTATCCCAGTTTATGAAAGTCAAAACGCGCGTGAATGATACTTTTTCTTGTACAGATCTAAATTCAGGAAGGTTTAGCAGGAAGTTACCTGTTAACAACACTAAGGCTGAGTTGCACCACCATATTTAGACCGTAACTATAACAATAACCGGCGTTTTTGTATGGAGATTGACCGTTTTTTTGACGTTTGTCAAAGTTAAAATAAGATGGTGCAACCCAGCCTAAAGTTGCAGGTGCTAAACCGAGTATTATGAGGCATCCCTAGAGCCTGCGCGCACGCCAGCGGTCATCCGCATGAATCTTTCACGACCACGAGTATTGGTAGCGCGGAGACGCCGGATCACTAGTAGTATTCCGGTTTTTGAAAGGGGGACACACCGAAACTCACGTGTGCGAAGCGGAAAAAAATCAAAAATAAAGTAACTTGTTAACACCTAAAAGGTTGCCAACACTAAAGTTACGGGTGCTAAACTGAGTATTATGAGGCATCCCTAGAGCCTGCGCGCACGCTCGCGGTNTGAAACGAACGATTGTATCATCATCATATTACGAGTATTAGTGTAGATGGATTATTTTTGTTGTAGTATTTGCCTAAAATGAAGGTGTAATATAAATGATGTCTTGGTTATTAGAAAAGATTTTTGTAACAAAAACAAATACTTTGGAATAGTGAGACACAGGAGATGTATTATTGTAAACGAAACTATATTTCTCGTAGTTTCTCATCAGCAACTGATATCTTTCACGATGTGGTCTAGTGGTAAGACCTCTGCTCCAGACCTAGAGGTCTCGGGTTCGATTCCCAGTGGAGTCCCAGTTCCTCTGTGGTTTTTCGGCTTAATCATCACTTTGGATATCTCATTGTACGTAGATAAAAAAAATCTATGTTGAAATATTTTTTAGCTTTGTCATAGGTTTTATCTTCGTAATAATTAATCAATAATTCATTCATATAAGTACTCGGAAGGCCCATAACAATAATACAAGGCATTTTATTAAGTATCATTAAAACCAAGATTGACATTATTATCAAATTCAATAGAAACAAAATATCCTATTGTACTCGACTTCCAAGTATTCCCTTTAAGCAATACCTTCAATTGAAAGCTATTGAATTACCGGACTTGACTGAATCCAGCTAAAATAAATAAATAATCAGAACTATAGACTCAAATAGGTTTGCTCGTTACCTAGAAAATCGGGAACCAGCAAAATAACGTCCTACGTAAATTCTAAAAACACCGGTTTGTATAAATAAATAGGATGGCTGTTTACATTCGTTGTATATTTGCTGATGACATACAGGGTCGAATTTTGTAATGCCACCTCCAGGGAAAGTACTCTTAATACTGTAGATAGAAAGTTTTACTGAAAGAAAACATTCCTTTATTTTTGAAAAGAAAAAGAACTGCATTCATAGATTTTCGAAAAAATTTCGAAAATTCACTACCATACCATACAATTTTCTGCACATAATTAAAGTAATGTAAGATTTCATGGTATTCCTTTCATTTGATTTATCAAGTTTGTTAGAGATATTTCATCCTTATACTTAACCCTAACGATCGATGCAATAAAAATACAGGGTGTAATTTTTAACAGACTTTAGTTGGTTCGATTCCCGGGTGTGGCAAGCAAATTTTTGGAAATCTTTGAATGTGGTTCTATTTCTTTAAATAAATAAAGGAATGTTTTCTTTGAGAATTTTTTTCTATCCACAATATTAAGAGCACTTTCCCTCCAGGTGGCATTACAAAATTCCTGTATACATTGGCGCGTATGCATCCAATAATTTTTAACTGAATCTGTGACAAAACTCCCAAAATATCACATGGGAACACTTTTGAGGAACCTGAACAGACGCGTATTAAAATAAAATATTAAGTTAGACAGAATTTCACTTGCCTGTCAAACTAACGCAACTATAAAACTATTGTATCATCAACGTAGGTAACAATCAGTTTATCTAGTAAAGTGCACATTATAATGCCAAACCAGTCGAAAAATGGTCGAAAGGCCTTTTTTTGTATGGAGTTATGATTATGACGAATTTGATTTTCTATTCGGTCAAAAAGTGCAACTTGTCTAGGAGGGCAGATGTATAACGTCGACGGTGAGATCGACGTTTTGCCACACGTAATAAGAGCTAATCTTACTAAATGTTTCTGTCAAGCTACGTGTAAAATGTATGAAGAAATAATGGGTGGTTACTACAAAAATGTGACTTACCAACGAGCGCCAGTATGACGGTGAGCAGCGGGGCCGCCGGGAACGTCACGGTGACGTTAAACTCTAGCATTTGCAGCAAGTCCACTGGAAATAAAATACTTATTTAAATATAAGTTAGACCAAGCGCTACTAAGTGAAACAAGGATTTAATGAAAATGAGTGGTTGGTTCATATCGTAAATGATGATGAACTGTGTTTAATGAAAAAACTACTGTTACATAAGTAGATAGGAATAGGTATGTGATAATAAGTTCAAGCGATGGTAATGGATGAATGGAAACAGCATTTGAAACAAACAGAATAAAACTTAGAACATATGTATCGTCATCTAATGAGGATACTTGATAGTTTGAAAAGAGAGTTTTAAACTGTAAAAAACTTTACCCTGGTAAAACTTGAAATAGTTTTTTACCCAGTAAATGAAAGTTGTGAATGATACTCTTTCTGGTACAGATCGAAATTCAGGAAGTTTACCAGGAAGGTTTAGCTGAAAGTTACCTGTTAACAACACCTAACAGGTTACCAACACTAAGGCTGAGATGCACCACCTTATTTAGACCGTAACTATATAACGATAACCGGCGTTATTTGTATGGAGATTGACCGATTTTTGACGTTTGTCAAAGTTAAAGTAAGATGGTGCAAGTTGCAGGTGCTAAACCGAGTATTATGAGGCATCCCTAGAGCCTGCGCGCGCTCTCGCGGTCATCCGCATGAATGTTTCACGACCACGAGTAATGGTGGCGGAGACGCCGGATCATTCTTTACGAGCCGACGACGGCCGGTTAAAATATACGTTTATCGGCTACTTGAAAGTCGATATCTTGGCATAAGGAGTCCTTTGTGGAAATTGAAAATATCGCCGGAAAAGCTTCGGATTTCGTATGCTTTCTTTGAAGCAATACGGAGAAGTGAACTGTTCGCGCTACATTCAAATCCTAATTGAATAAAGATATTATTTCCACATCAAATTTCACTATAACGTAATCCACATTCCTGGAATATCAAACACGCCGAATGAGCTTTGACGTAACAGGATTGCGAATGCAGGTCACGCGCCATCACAGAATTCTCTCGAAAATCCAGCTGCATAACAGAAACTCGAAAATCCATTTCCAATGGGAAACTGCATTAAACCAATATTTAGTTGGAAGTACATTAGCGAGTAAAAGGGTCAGCGAAACTCCACCGAAACGGATTTGGTCCATGTGTCGCGCCGTGAGTTTTTTCGAAAGCATATACGTAATAAGATAAAGGTTTTATCGTCTTTTCGTTAGCATAGTTCACGTGCTCGGCTCGGCTTTGCGGACGGTTGTTTGCGCACGGTGGGATAATCCCCGTACAGTTACAGCATCGAATATGGGAACCCCCGTTTTGTGTCGTCTTTTGATGTTGACGTAAGTGAATACGGTCTGAGGCCCCGTGAAAGAGTTGCGTATACGTCGATGATACGTTTACTTTTGATGTGAAAAGGTTTCAGTTGATACCGTTTCTTACATTGCGTTTAAAATAGCACAAGAATGAAGAAATAAAATGTTCAGACCAAAATAGAAATAATTAGCTTTTTCTTTCACGTAATTGTTAGTGACTTTTCGCAAGGTACAAGCTGAATTGTGTACTCCTGCGGTTACAAACATGTGAATTCAAAGAACGAAATGTAACATCACCCACGTTAACTTACAATTGCAGGTGAACATTTTAATATTTGTTTCAAATGAAAAATTGTAAATTGCGACGTCATCGTTCATCATTCATCACGCGATATTAATATCGCGCGCCGCTTCCTGCGATTTACTGCCGTTTTCATACAGGGTGGAAACGTTAAGTGATCTCACTCGATTATTTCTAAACTATACAAGATATTGAAAAACTGGTAACTGATCCTGAAAGTGATTCATGAGCTCTTTCAAACGGTACCAATAATAGGTTACCAAATAAACTGGATCTATCCGAAAATTCAATGTTTCCGGCTTCCATACATTTAGTAAAATCACATAATATTAAAAACTATACAAGATATCCAAAACCTGGTTACTGATCCTGAAAGTGCTTCAGGAGCTCTGTCCAACGGTACTAATAAATAGGTTACAAAATAAACTGGATTATCCGAAAATTCAATGTTTCCAGCTTCCATACATTTAGTACTGCCACAGTCATGGCACTCAAGTCTTGATAATATTATAGCAAGTAAAGCCTAAAACCAATGTTTTAATGAATAATTTTAAGTAAGAATGCAATTTGGAGTTCAATTTAAGTGTTTATTATTGAATAAAAAAAATTAACACTTCCAATATTGTGTCGCTGGCATACATTTAGTATGGAGCCTGAAAACATTGAATTTTCGGATAGATCCAGTTAATTCTGTAACCTATTACTTATACCGTTTGAAAGAGCTCGTGAAGCACTTTCAGGATTCATAACCAGTTTTTTGATATCTTGTATAGTTTACAAAA